CCCCCCCACTTTTTGAAAATTTGTCACGGCTTAACTGTAATGGCGCTAGCTTTAATTCAAGTGGCGCAATTGAGCGCATAACCAAATGTATCAGGTGACCTAGTTACAAGGGACAAAATACGTACTGGGGGGGGGCTACGTTCACTTGACCCCCCCCCCCCCCAATGTTTTTTCGGATTTCTAAAAAACGATAATGGCGCAGTGGCGCATAAGGAGCGCATTCATTTTAAAATAATACGACTATCAAATCTAACAGTGGGGGGGCCAAGTTAACGGACCCGAATCAAAGAATATTATCGTTGCTGGAATTTAACCAGCGAGCAGATGCGTCCGAACGCCCTTTTTGTGGAGATCTCTTAGCCCAGGAAAGGGGTCGACTAAGACACCGGGGGAGACTTAGCTCCCAGGATCACACAGCTTATTGGCTTCATCACCGACCGTTACGCACCCCCTGAATTATCGAACATGTGAAGCTCCACATCGATATCAAGGATCATCATTGGAGGGGCTTAATCTATTTGCGATTTTGGACGAGTAACTATTTGTTAATGTCAAAATAAACATTGTGTAAATCACTTGTATTACTATCTTGTCCCCTTCTATCGTTTTCTGTGTTTTAAATTCATAATTCCCCAAAGCGTTTCCGTTCGAGATTTTCATTCATCATGTATTTTTGCCAAATTAGGCATTGGGCCCGGTTCATGAATTTGTTGGTAATTAATCGGGGGCGCCCTCGAGTGAATTTTGGCAGTCTTCCGCTTTTTTGCCCATAATCGTGCAGCGAAGGTTTTTTGAACTCGCGTTGGATCCGCCGTCTTCGTCGCGCCTCGTCTAACGTGTTAACGTCTTTCCGCGGATAGAATTTATATATAGAGGCATTCTGTAGTGCCGAATCATGGTTTGGTGTCTGTTTTTAGAGGAGTGACTCACGTAAACGAAATTAGTTCAGTTTGTTTAGTTGCGGTGGGGTGCGCTTTTATGTTTTTTAGTGTACAAACAGATCCGTATTGTACCAATTTCGAGATGGATTTCTCAGAGAAGCTCTCCGCGAAAAGTTCGTCCGTCCGCGAAATTTGCCTCCCCAAAAACGCGGGGTACGGATCTGCGCGCCGATTCTTGTAAGAGGTAATTGGTGGAAAATGCGCGAAGGTTTTTTGAACTTTTCGCCGGTGAAAAGATTTCGATTTTCGTATTTTAGTCGCGCTTTTTTTTTAATTCGTCTCGCAGCTGCAGGACGTAAATCTTTTACGCATGTCCGGAGAGGTCTCCACGAGAGCGTGTGTTTTCCTCTAAGATTTTCAGTTATCGCATCCGTCTTCTTCGGGCTCGGTTTTGTTTTGGAAACCCCCTGGTGCGTCTCGGCCGATTTTTGGAACACCCCGCACGTTCGCGCCCCGACGTTTTTGGCGATAATGACATAATTCGAAAAAATTACAATGTGCGATTGTCCAACTGCTGGTGTTATTACAACCCACGAAACTCGCAAGAGTTGGATTATTTTTAACGAAAATACTACACATATCGGTGGGTATTCTTGTTTCTTGCAGAAGCTATTAATAAATTCGCTCGTTAATCTTCCCAATGTTTGTCTTCCTTATTATGTCACGCGGTCTTAGCGGATTTGGAAATTTGTTCCTTAAAGTAAATACGGAAGAGCGAGCGATTAAAATGCCGTTTTGGTAATTCGCCAAGTTGATCTCTTTCCTTGATGTATGTTTTATTATGTTTATATTTTTTCCCTCCCGATTCGCTTCCTTCTACCAAAATATTCGTGTGTCAGCTCTTTGTTCCGGTGGATGTTTACTGTTGGAGTACGTTGTACTCAATTACTTTAAATAATTGAAGTATTTTTAAATGTGAAAGCTTTAAAAACAAAAAAGTTATTCATTCATTCTTTACGCTTGAATCACCCAATTTCCTCGTGCCCCAAGGAGTTTTGCCTAATCTTTACTATCTTTGGAACATGTTTCAAGTGAATCACAACTTGGTAAGCTATTCACTATGACATTTTGGCACGAAGTGGAAGGTTATAATGAGGCTTACAAGTTTGTCGACAAGCTTAACAAATGTGCTACTTTTTACGGGGTGAGTCACATGTCTTGCGTAAATCTCATGGCGTTTGTGTCCAGTTTCGAGTAGAACTCAGCCACCAAAGCACTTTCAGTGGTATCACGTGCTAAAAATGTATTGTGTGTTTATGTAAGATTTTTCAAAGTAGACGATTAGCTCATGAGTTACAACATTGGTTTCCTAAACGTTTTGGTCCCCCAAAGTATAATAGAACGGATTTTTAATTTTTACGAAACGAATATTTAGTGCTACCCTTTCTCGAACCGCAATTCTCCATTAACCCTTCAATTTTGACGCCCCAAACTTGTACGTAAATCCATCACTAATTACAGAATTTTTTGTTTAATCCACTGTTGCCATTTTTTGAGATTTCCAAAAGTTAAACATTTGCTCTTGGACACAAATACAAAATATCCGCATTTTTATAATATTCGACTCATTTGGGCCTTGGGGGTTTGGATCAAGAAGGTTTGTTTTCCCTCTCTCTTCCTTTCATCTGCAGAATGTATCATGCCAACCTTGTTTATTTTTTTCTAACATTTCCATACTTTTCTTGCCACGCCACATTTGTCATTTGTAACACATTTTGGAAATTTCCGAAATTTACGATTTTTTTAGAAACATTTTCACTATTACCTGACATTTTCCACCTATGAAAGGCGAGCCGAATTTTTTTTTAATTCGGTTCGGCTTGGCTCGACAAAAATCAGGTCAGCTCGAACCAAAACTTGGCTCGGAAACCAAGCTGGGATTCAAAACGATGGAATTTACAATTGAATATTGAAGGTTAAAAAACTTTAATCAAATAATTTTAATAGTTAACTAAATATAAACAAAACATATACACTGTGTCCAAGAATAAGTTGTCGATTTCATTTTAATTTTTCGTTAAATAAATAAACTGTTGGTTTCAACAGGATGGTGCACCCGCACACAACGCCTTAATCGTGTGAGAATACCTATCGGATATATATTCCAGGAAACTTGTCCGATAGGTTTTCTCACACGATTTCGGCGTTGTGTGCAGGTACACCATCCTGTTGAAACCAACAGTTTTGTTTTTTTTAAGTGCATTGTTGTATTCGTATTAAAAAAAAATGCTACTCAGTGCGGTATGTAATTTTTACGGGCCTTATAAGAAATAAAGTTGATGATGATTTCTTTGTCTCTCCACGTTGTCTTGTAGAGCCCAAAAGTGCCAAAGAGAAAGTGTTTTTAATTTTTTTGTATCTGTTCAAATATCATTAGAAAAAAATAAAAACAAAATCGGCAAATTTCGAATTTTCTAGCATATCTTCGGAAGTAATCGTAATTTTCTGGTTTAAAGCATAATAATAACTCTTTAATTGCTAATATTTTTCTCTAATTTGACCATACAACCATGATAGACATCCTTATCTTGAACACAGTGTATATCTCCTAAATGTTAATACTAGTTTTTGGAGGAAATTTAATTAGCTTTCATTTTGAAGATATAACCGGGTATAAAAAAATTGATAGTTTTCGAGATATTGAGGAAAAAACGAAAAAAGGGGCCTAAAATTCAAAATGGCGGTCACCCCCCCACATGCAGGCTTTTTGGATGTGTTCAAGAGGAAGGTCCAATGAACATTTTCCCGGCCCTAATAACAGATGGAGTAATTCCTAGGGTAGGTTCGTCCGCCCCACCACTGCCTTCACGAGCCAGCTCATTTGCCTTTTCGTTGCTCCTTATTCTGCAGTGCGCTGGCACCCTATTAGACTCACTTAATCTATATATACAGTGATTTTCATTTAGAAGTAGGCATAGGAACTAGTTTTAAATGACAATATACGCTCCACATAAGACATCGTAAACAACTTTCAATTTTAACTGAGGATATGAAACTGAATGTTTTTTTTGTGGAAGAGAATCCCATAAGAAATAACGGCCGAATTTAATATCTCTTCATCATAACCTAAAAGCATACTATTACCACAGATATACAGGGTGGCCAAATAAGAATGCGAGGTACTGTATCTGGGAACCTGTCCATCGTAGAACCTTGCGGTAAAAAAATTATTACTAAAACGGCCACGAGAAAAATCTGGAAAATATTTTTAAGTTTCTGCAATGGCCGCTAGGGGGCGTAACTGCAATCTGTGAATTCCGCTATATTAACCTAACAATAAATTGTCCGGTCTTTGAAGACGACAATAATCTGAACCTTTTTTGTTTGACAATTTTTCCCGTATCTCTAAAAATGAAGTGGTGGGGGGGTATTCAAAGGTTTCCGTAAAGAACACCCTGTATCTTCGAAACGACTGAGCCGATTTTAACAAACTCGGGTTAATTGAAAAGGGTTATTCTTCGGCTACAAATATTACAATATTTGAAGTTTTGTTAGTTTAACATATCGCCGCTTGGGGGCTTTTTTCGACATTCCGACAGAAATGGTTAATTTTTTCAAAAAAATGAAATGCGTTGGTTTGATTTTTTTTCATGAAAAAGTAGCCAAATGATGCCTGAACAATCTCGCAAAAACCGCATCTCGATATCTTGTTCCTAACCTAAAATTTAGGCAAAAGAAAAGTTTATACGCTCACAATTTTATTTTTTTAAGCTAATTTTTCCGGAATTATTTTTATTATATAATTTGTGGCCCTAAGGACCTAAGGTGGATCGATTTAAAAAAGGAAGCTTTTAATGCCGCCGTAAATGCTCGAAATGCTGGCCATCACGATATAAAAAATGTATATATCTCTCAAGATACCGAGATGCTGTTTTCGCGAACATGTTTAGGCATCATTTAGCTACTTTTTCATGAAAAAAAAATCGAACCAATGCATTTAATTTTTTTGAGAAAATTAACCATTTCTGTCAGAATGTCGAAAAAAGCCCTCAAGCGGTGATATGTGAAACTAACAAAACTTCAAATAGTATATTTGTAGCTGAAGAATAGCTCTTTTGAACTAACCCGAGTTTGTTTAAATCGGCTCAACCGTTTCGAAGATACAGGGTGTTCTAAACGGAAACTTTTGAATAACCCCCACCACTTCGTTTTTAGAGATACAGGAAAAATTGTCAAACAAAAATTGTTCAGATTATCGTCAACTTCAAAGACCGGACATTTTTTTGTTAGGTTAATATAGCGGAATTCACAGAAACATCATTTTTTTAGATTCCAGATTGCAGTTACACCCCCTAGCGGTCATTTCAGAAACTTAAAAATATTTTCCAGGTTTTTCTCGTGGCCGTTTTAGTAATAAATTTTTTTACCGCAAGCCTCTACGATGGATAGATTCTCAGATACAGTACCTCGCATTCTTAGTTGGCCACCCTGTACGCATACAACAGATTGCTAACATTATGCATTTTATGGGTATACTTAAAAGCGCCCTCTATCTATCTATCTGTGCTATTACTGTCGTTTTTATTAAAAAATCTAGAATGACAATACAAAATGCGCGCGCATGTTATTTCGGTTGTATAAAATTAGGCGTCTTTCAGAAGGATTTTTGTCAAAGTAGACATAGAAAATCCCTATGTCTACTTCTAAATGAATAGCACTGTAGAGTTCGTCTGCAGTCAAGCACTGTAGCCCATCGGAAACTGTCCGCTGCGTCGCCTGACTGTCACAGGTTCTCTGGTGCACTGGGAATGATGGCTAAATTCTCTGCCTGAAACAGGGTGCTACACTGTCCGAGGGAGAAGCTAACGTCAGTTCTCGGTTGATGACCATATACACCTATACCCGTTCCCCTTTCTGTTAGGAACCCGTTTGTAAACCACACGACTCCCTTTAGGTTTGAGGAACGGGAATCTGGTCCCTGTCCGGGAGACCGACTTTAAAACTCTTAATGGCTTGAAGATAAGATTTTTCGATAGAGTGCTTTTGTATTATGATATGGTTGAATATTCTCCACATTTTAAAAATATTTGGAATTATACAGGGTGCGCCCACAAAGTAGGGCGCCCAAGTGGTACATTGTTTTAAATAGAACCCCCTGTATTTGAATGCATTTTTGAATTCTACGTGTAATTGTACGTTTTTTTTAAGTATATGGTTAATATCCGAAAAGCTAGTAGTTTTAAAGATAATTAGATTTTTAAGAAAAATTGGGCATTTGCAAGGGTCAGTATATTGTCAAAATTATTACTTAAATTTTGATTCCAGTATCATTTATCCTCGGTTAAGTAAAAGTCAAAGAAATACATCTACTATGAAACATTAAAAATATAACTTACAGGGTGTTTTTGTAGTAAGTCCAAAGTTGCAAAACTTCATATTAAATAATCCCACTTTTTTAAAATCAGATAAAGATTTTTAAAGCAGATAAAAATTGCCTTTTTTTTGCATGGCCACCTCACTATTATGTAAATTACATATAACTTATGTAAGATTACAATATAAAAACCAGGAAAACCAAGATATTTCGAAAACTATCAGAGATAGGACATTATTATCAAAAGTTGAAGGTTTTTGGAGGATGGAGATGACATTAAAATATACAGGGCGTTCCATTTAAAAAAAGTGATATTTTTTAATATGAAGTTTTATAACTTTGGATCTAGAAAAAAAAATACCCTGTAAGCTATTTTTTTAATGTTTTGTAGTAGATGTATTTATTTGACTTTTACTTAACCCAGGATAAAAGATATAAAACCTGCAATCAAAATTTAAGTAATAATTTTGAAATATACTGACGCTTGCAAATGCCCAATTTTTTTTTAAATTTTCGGATATTAACCATATAATAAAAAAGACGTACCATTACACGTAGAATTCAAAAATGCATTCAAATACAGGGGGTTCTATTTAAAAAATGTACCATTTTGTCGGCCTACTTTGTGGGCGCACCCTGTATAATTCCAAATATTTTTAAAATGTGGAGAATATTCAACCATATCATAATACAAAAGCACTCTATCGAAAAATCTTATCTTCAAGGCATTAAGTTACTCCGCGCAATCGTTGACTCATCCTGTACAAGAGAGTGCGATATTTATCATATCTCGAATTAACTAATGAATTAAAAGTTTAACAGTATCTCCTTTTTTAATTGCAGGTAGTAGAAGCACGGTACAAACAGAAGTACAAAATTCAATTCCCCCCGAAGCGCCGGACTCGCCCGATCCGAACCTCGACAACATGTACCTACTCCTGGATCCGCATCTTCGCCCCGCCACGCCCGACTTGGACGATCCCAGTTCCGTCTCGCTATTCGAGGAACACAAACAATTAGCTCAGGAATATCTTAAGGTAAATTAGCTCGACTTGATAACGTCGGCCTCAATTTTTGATTGAAGGTACAAACGGAACTAGCGTATTTATCACAGCGAAAGACGAAACTACAGGAAACACAAAGTTTAGAGCAACAGAGACAGAGAAAGACAATAGAACAGTTACAAAGTGAGAAGCAGGCCCTAATATTGCTTAAGAAAAGCTTAGAGAAACAGAAAGAGTTACTTACCGCCAATATCGGTCGGCCGCCGTCTGACGGTTGGGTTTTAGTGCCACGAAGTGACGAAAGTGAACTTTAGGCGTTTGGTTCGTTTTTACTTATTTTAACTCTGTGTTATTATTTTTATTTTTTTTTAATCTAGTTTTTTAAACATATCACTGTACATATATGTTTTTAATATGACAAATTTTAAATGTCTTGGGTTTGTTTCAATGCAAACATGCAAGAAATAAAGTTTTTATAATGTTTGACCAATGGAATTTGATAGGTATTCTTTCATGTTCCTTTTTTGTATGTATTTTAGCTAAATTAATGGCTCGTCAGTTTATAATTTTTTTTTACAGAAAGCGAGTAATTTTAGATGCTTGCTTATACATTTGTTTTAGTTTTCAACATGGAGCAGATCTATGAAAAAAAGTATGCGAAGAACACTTTTTTCAGGAAAATTTTCAGTTTCTTTTCTACAACACCAAACTCTTTTCCAGAAATTGTACGAGATGTCTTGGAACCAATATAATATAATCTCCGTTTGACTAGGAGAGGCGATTTAAGCTATGTTCAAAAATAAATATAAGAAGAAGAATAAATATGATCTAAATTAAAAATATTTTCTTTTTTTCCCTTACTAAAAATAATTGCATGCGGCCCGCGAGATCGTAATGAATTTGGAAACTGGCCCACATTTGAGTTCAGAAATTAAAACTTTAATTAGTCGCTTGGTTCCCTGTCATCCCAAAACCTGGAAATTGCCTTAAAATTCTTGTTAATTAAGCGCGCTTCATTTGACACCAAACATTTGTCAATCAGATACATCTCATTAGCTACCGTAATTATGCTTAGTTATTTGGGTGTGTTGAAATTCAAAAATTCGGTAGTCCAGTTAACGTCCCTTGCTGGTGATTTTTCTGAATTGCGCATGAAATATTTTTATTAATTTGTTTGATTGTACTAAAATGCTCTGCTAACAACCCTATATAGGTGCTCAACCAAAATCTACCCCTATCCGTTCGCAAATTACGTGTACTTTTACAAAAAGCGTCTTTTACTCGGGAAACATACACTTCGAAGGGTGGTTTTTCTGAATAGCGCATGAAATATTTTTATTTATTTGTTTGATTGTACTAAAATGCTCTGCCAACAACCCTATATAGGTGCTCAAAAAAATCTACCCCTATCCGTTCGCAAATTACATGTATTTTTAAAAAAGCGTCTTTTACTCGGCACTCATCCATTTCAAGGGGTGGTTTTTCTGAATTGCGCATGAAATATTTTTATTATTTGATTGATTGTACTAAAATGCTCTGCCAACAACCCTATATAGGTGCTCAAAAAAATCTACCCCTATCCGTTCGCAAATTACATGTATTTTAAAAAAGCGTCTTACTCGGCACTCATCCATTTCAGGGGTGGTTTTTTGAATTGCGCATGAAATATTTTTATTAATTTGATTGATTGTACTAAAATGCTCTAACAACCCTATATAGGTGCTCAAAAAAGTCTACCCCTATCCGTTCGCAAATTACGTGTATTTTTTTAACTTTGTCGCTAGAGGGCGTACGAAATCGCTTTATAAAAAATACAGCGGTTTTAGGAATTTTTGTTTTTAAATTTGCATACATGTTTTAAAAAACAATTGACATTTTGCGGAAGAGGAAGCTTGATTTTATCTGATTGCATTTGTACGTCATAAAATAAGATTTACAATCGCCTTCACAAAACGCTAGGGATTCAACGGGCGTGTACCTACTTATAACGGAAGCAGAAGCGGAAGATAAAATCTTTTTTTTTTGTGGAACCGGAAGTGTGAATACTGTTATAAATTTGATAAAAACTGGAATAATCAGAGTTTATTAAACTATGCAGTAAAAACCACGAATTGTTGCGACGAACTAATGAGTCGAATGAAAGTAAACAAAAACAAACAAGTCCCGCCACGTCTGACAGCCGGCTCTACTGACAAACTCAAGCGCCGTTCGGCCAATCAGAGGGCGCATTGAAAAATTCAAATAGACTTCCGTTACAAAATAGCGGAACTGAAATAATATGCAGAACTTCCGCACTTGCGGAAGTAGAGGTCTGCTGCATCACTAGTGCTTTCTGTGCCAAAGTCTTCCTTATTTCAACACTCACCATTTACTTAGAAATCAAACTTAGTCAGGATGCGCATACTGCTGTATTGGTTGCTAACGCTTGTTACAGGAATATTCCATTCCAATGCTAGATTTTGAACTAAATAAAACACAATGGACTTAAATAAATATTTATACAATTTTAACTATCACAGTAACTTATAATATACAATATCAAATACTATTTCTATAACATCCATAGAGCTTCTCAGTCAAATACAACTACAATGAACGTTTTATTAAATGAAGATGGCAGTGAAATGATGGATGACTACATTTACTCAATGCGTGTGTACTTAATCGTTAACATAAAAGAGTAGGTACTATATGGGTAACGTAGCACCAACACTTTTAGAAAATATCTTTGAAAAAACACCAACACCGGTAGCACCACCCGGAACGCTCGCAACTACAGACCACAAAAGTGTAATAATTTGTCCAACGGCTCCGAGCACGGTAAACGGCGTGCTCTGCAAGTGTAGGGCGCAGTATAAAGTCACTCCCAGCGTAAAAACATAGGTGACGGTGAGCCAAATTCGTTCCCGTGTAAACGAGTGTTTCAAATAAGCCACGGGTCCCCACAAGAACATGAAACTACAACCTTATTAATAACACCTACAGTTTACGGCCAAAAATATTTACCTTAAAACGAAAAAGACACTACCTAAGGTGAATAACAGCGCGAATTTTCTCGCTTTTAAAATCAGCACGGGAATGTACATTAGAGAAATGGAAAAGCACAGGATGCCCATAAGAACGCAGGCGCAAAATCCCGCTATCCTCTGGAAGCGTGTCTGGAACGTGAATTGTTTAATAGCGAATTCCGGCGAGTTGGGATAGTCACCAAGCTCGGGCAGCATTGCTTTTGGGTGCTCGCGAACCACGTCTCCTCCTCTTGGCTTTCCGATTTTAACCAGTTGGAGAAGTTGGGTTTTTGTATCGTTGGCATTTGTAATTTGAACGACTTCTTTTGGTCGTTCTGCAGTAGCAGATACTGATCTAGATCCTTTTTCAAATCTGCCATTTTTATGATGTTTGTTTTGTCAAGATACGTCAACAGCTGACAGTTGACAGTTGATAGGATTTGACGCTACCAGAAACACTTCTGTTTTGTGGTTATTGGTCCTCGTTGATTATGTCTATGTACAGGGTGAAGTACAAAATTATGGGTATCCCAATTACCTCACCAAGGGATACACCTTGTCGTGGTGGTGGGGCTCAGTAGCAACTATTTCAGTGGTGAAGCTAAGTATCCCAGGCAGATAACTGCTAGACTCCATGGCTGTTATCTATAAAGTTTAGTACGTGAGCTATTAACGAAAGTATACTCGACGGATACTCAATAAATGTGGTTTGGGGGACAATACCAGAATTGGTTTTAGTTTGAATTGGAAAACGAGCGAAATACCTTTTAAACTTGTCTAATGGAGTAGAGATGTTTGAAAAGGCTCTCGACGGTTACACATCAAACGTGACAGACGAAATTTTCCACATCTGTTCAAGGTTATCTTGGAACTGTTTGAACTTATGGATTCTACAGGCCACATTCTATAAGAAAAATTTTTTTCCGGGTCGATCTGAGACAATTTTTTTTGAGGGCCTCAAAAAAAGGCAGTTATTTACCTTCCTTTTTTACCAGAAATCGACTGCACCAAAATTTATCGGGAAAACACTTTTTCTTATTAATTTTGGTGCGTAGAATCCAAAACAATTCGTACTTTTTCGATCGGACTTCTCAATCAAAAGTTATGGGCTAGAAACCAATTTCGAAAGAAAATTCAAAGGGCTGTAACTTTTGAACTAGTAGCCCAATCTTGGAACTGTTTGAAATTATGGATTCTACATGCCACATTCTATAAGAAAATTTTTTTCCGGGTCGATCTGAGACAATTTTTTTTCGGGGCTCAAAAAAAGGCAGTGTATAACCTTCTTTTTTTACCAAAAATCGACTACACCAAAATTTCTCGGGAAAACACTTTTTCTTATTAATTTGGGTGCGTAGAATCCAAATCAATTCGTACTTTTTCGATCGGACTTCTCAATCCAAAGTTATGGACTAGAAACCAATTTCGAAAGAAAATTCAAAGGGCTAAGAAAATTTTTTTCCGGGTCGATCTGAGACAATTTTTTTTTCGGGGCTCAAAGAAAGGCAGTTATTTACCTTCCTTTTTTACCAGAAATCGACTACACCAAAATTTCTCGGGAAAACACTTTTTCTTATTAATTTTGGTGCGTTGAATCCAAAACAATTCGTACTTTTTCGATCGGACTTCTCAATCAAAAGTTATGGACTAGAAACCAATTTCGAAAGAAATTTCAAAGGGCTGTAACTTTTGAACTAGTAGCCCAATCTTGGAACTGTTTGAAATTATGGATTCTACAGGCCACATTCTATAAGAAATTTTTTTTTCCGGGTCGATCTGAGATAATTTTGTTTGAGGGCCTCAAAAAAAGGCAGTGTATAACCTTCCTTTTTTACCAAAAATCGACTACACCAAAATTTCTCGGGAAAACACTTTCTTATTAAATTTGGTGCGTAGAATCCAAAACAATTCGTACTTTTTCGATCAGACTTCTCAATCAAAAGTTATAGACTAGAAACCAATTTCGAAAAAAAATTCAAAGGGCTGTAATTTTTGAACTAGTAGCCCAATCTTGGAACTGTTTGAAATTATGGATTCTACAGGCCACATTCTATAAGAAAATTTTTTTCCGGTTCGATCTGAGACAATTGTTTTTTCGGGGCTCAAAAAAAGGCAGTTATTTACCTTCCTTTTTTACCAGAAATCGACTACACCAAAATTTCTCGGGAAAACACTTTTTCTTATTAATTTTGGTGCGTAGAATCAAAAACAATTCGTACTTTTTCGATCGGACTTCTTAATCAAAAGTTATGGACTAGAAAACAATTTCGAAAGAACTACCAGAATGACAGGTCTCTAAGGGTGGAGTCCATAAATCTTGGGAAGGTTTGGGCCGCAATGCAACTCAGCCACCCCAAGCAGGGACGACGCATCAGATTTCGCTCTTAGCATTTTTTTCAAAATAACTATCTGTCACCATTTTTATTTATATCGGCTGTTAACTGCGAGAAGGGCATTTTTGCCAAAAGGGATTAATGGGGGTGAAAATGAGTCAAGTGTTCTGGAGATCAACTCTATATTCCGATGGAGTAAAGCGTAAATTTTGGGAAGCGTCTAAGGTAATGAAAGGGGTAACAATGAATTGTAAGCTCCTTGCGGAAAATGATAATTTATGACTATTTTCGTAAAGGGGGTGAGTTGTTCCATATAAATAGTACCTTTTCAAAGCGATTTACGCAAAATTAATTCGCAAGTAAAGTAGAAAATTCTCGGTAAAGTTTAAACGTATCGTGTTCCCAACGAAATTGATGAAGTAATAGTGACTTTGGCATTTCTCGCTCCCTCTTAATTACCAGAGTTTTAATCTTATAAACCAAGGATGTTATCTTCAGCTTTAGATTGACTGTGTATAATTTAGTATCTGCTGGTTGTTTGTAATTAATTTAAATTGCTTGGGAGGAATCCCTCCACAGTTTCCAACGTGTAAGGGAAACGTACCTACTACTCCCACACTTATTAATACATTCTGAATCGGCACGTGCATTTGATTAATTGAACTCAAAAAGATTGAAACCTTCAACAGAAGATTGCTCACGGCATCCATCTTGACAAGTCATATTTTAATCTCAATTCAAATCCCTTAGAATCAAATTTGCATTCGCACGATGTATGAAAATGCTTTTTTTTCCTGCTCCAAAGTGAGCTTGTCGGGTTGGGGATGAAATAAATCAAGCGAAAAGTGCGCTAGGTTTTTCGAGGACGCGCGGAGAACCCCGGCCGTGGGCGTCTGTCTACATGAAATTTATAGCCGTCGTAATCGCCCCTAAATTATGAATCAAAGCTTAATCGAGCAATGGCCATAACGCAATAGTCATTTACTAAGTAAATCTTGCACGTCAATAAAAATGGAGCGAAATAATCCTTCTCTTTTCAGCGGCGTGGCCGTTACAGAGCGCTTTTGCGTACTGCGCCTTCGACGAGGGCATAAACGCTTCAGCGCATCGGAGCAATTTTCAGATGAAATTCAGTAGCTTGTAGCTAACAGACAGATCAAGATGCCCTCAAAGTTGGCATGGCTAGGGGTTATTTCATATTTGACTTTCGCTAGTACGCTACCGACCTCGCTCGTTGAAGACGTTAAGGCGAATTCAATCAAAGACAGCAAAGGTAAGAATTTTCGGATATTTTTGCACGTATTTTTCATTAATATTGATTAGGTGGCCGCAGAGTCAACAGGTAGATTATTTTGAATTGTTTACGCGAATTAACCTTGCCAAAATCAATGAATGACGGTGGGGTAGGTAGCGATTTGTACAAACTATGCCCATAAATCATCTAGTTAGATCAACAGGTTCAACTTGAAGGGTTTGTCTAGAGGCCAACAAGTTGTTGGCAAACGTCTCCTATTGCGTATTATTCATTAGATCACTAGTAATTTAATTATGCTTTTCAACGCTGCTCTCCAGAAAAATCTAAGAGATATTCTTCATGTCTTTCTCTTTCATTGTAGGAAACCATTTTCTATCGTTCGGGTAGGATCTTTTAGGTTTGACGCTGCATTTTCTGGTGAAGCGCTAGAAGAACATGGGACCAATACAGACCTTGGGTTCTTCTTGGAGCTTCACCGTGACCATCTTCACATTCTTGGATTATAAAATTACGTAGATCCTCACATACAGTAGCTGTTTATAGAACGGTCGCGTTATCACCGTGTAGAAAATGATCTTGGGCACTTGGTACCTTATTTTCAATGTATGTACCAAAGCATTCATTTTTCTACCTACTTCATTTTTCATTTTCACAAAGCAGCACCTGGTTAGATATAACCAGTAAATTTCCTCTCGCCATTTCCTTTAGTTTGTTTATTAGGTTTAGGTGATTTTAGGGCGATTTTTGGCTAACATCAATGTTTGAGGCCCTACACGGTCACTAAGGGATCTCAAAATTTCACCAAACTTTTTGCATTCACTTTATCTCGTCAATTTTAGAAAAAAAAACAGAATTACATTTTTCACGAAAATTTTTGAAAAAATCGACACTTGCGACTGCAATGTAGGGATGGTAAGCATATATTACAGGGGTGGTCTCTAAAGTAATCGTTTAGTAACAAAAAATATCACCGGCAAGAGCCCATTTTGTGCGAATTGTGGTTCATTTTTTTATTCTTACTTTGGTGTTGTTTTGTATTGGCGCTTTGAAAATTTTTTGGCGCGCTAGAAGTGTCATGGGATAGCCTCATGCTTTTTCTTTCGGTCGCCATGTCAACCGTTCGCGTATCTTGAACGTTAACGAAATTATTAATTTTCCTGTAAAGGAATGCAAAATGAAAATGCAATTTTTATAAAAAGATTTTGTTATATTTGCAATCACTGTGACTAAATTCCGTTTTTTCTTCGGTTTTTTCGTTTCAAAATAAAAACTGTATGGAAATTTCCACTTTTTTCGTATGATTTTTTAAGTATGCATAGAACTTTGACGAAACTTTCTTAAGGCGTTGTTCGTGATAAATTGCAACGTCCGGTATATCTATTGGAAGGCAATCAATTTTTTTTGAATTTTTAAGAGGTATTTTTCCTTTTTGAACTCATTGATTTCAGGGGGTTGTTCTTTAACAGTGCACCAGATATTTTTATTTTATTAATAGATTATACTAAAATGATCCACCAACAACCCAATATAAGTGTTCAAAAAAAATCTACCCATATCCGTTCGCAAATTACGTGTATTCCCATAAAAAGCTTCCTTTCCTTAAAAATCATCCACTCTGTATGGGGTAGTATTTGCACAGCGCATCAAATATTTTTAATTTTTTGAATTGATTATGTTAAAATGGTCCACCAAACCAACAACCCTATATCGTACTCAAAACAATTTAACCTTATCCGTTTGCGAATTAAAAAGGTTCCTTTTCTTGGCACTCATCCATTTCAAGGAGTGGTCGCGGGGGTGGTTCTTTTAATAGCTAAAAGGCTAAAAGCTAAAAGGGTCTACCAACAACCCTATATTAGTGCTCCAGTGCTTTTTTACTTGTCATTTGTCCACTTCAAGGGGTGATTTTCTTTACAGTGCATCAAATATTTTATTTCTTTGATTGATTGTACTAAAAGAGTGCACAAGCACTCCTGTATAGGCGCTCAAAGAAATCTACCCCTACACGTTCGCAAGTTACGTGTATTTTTTACAAAAAGCGCCTTTTACTCGGTACTCATCCACTTCGAGGGGTGGTTTTTCTTCATAGCGCATGAAATATTTTTATTTATTTGTTTGATTATACTAAAATGCTCTGCCAACAACCCTATATATGTGCTAAAAAAAATCTACCCCTATCCGTTCGCAAATTACGTGAACTTTTACAAAAAGCGGCTTTTACTCGGGAAATATCGACTTCAAGGGGTGGTTTTTCTTAATAGCGCATCAAATATTTTTATTTATTTGATTAATTATGCTAAAATGGTCCGTCAACAACCATATATATGTGCTCAAAAAAATCTACCCCTATCCGTTCGCAAATTACGTGTACTTTTACAAAAAGCGTCTTTTACTCGGGAAATATTCACTTCAAGGGGTGGTTTTTCTTAATAGCGCATGAAATATTTTTATTTATTTGATTAATTATAATAAAATGGTCCGTCAACAACGTATACATCGTGCTCAAAAAAATCTACCCTGTATGCGTTCGCAACATTACGTGCTTTTACAAAAAGCGTCTTTTACTCGGGAAATTTTCACTTCAGGAGTGGTTTTTCGTATACTAGCGCATGAAATCATGTTTATGTTTATTGTTTGATTATACTAAATGCTTGCCAAAACCTATATATTTGCTCAAAAAAATCTACCCCTATATCGATCGCAAATTACGTTTGTACTTTTAAAAAAAGCGTCTTTTACGGGAATATTCAATTCAAGGGGTGGTTTTTCTAATAGCGGCATGAAATATTTTTATTTTTTTGATTAATTTAATACTAAAATTGGTCCGTCAACAACCATATATATTGCTCACAAAAAATCTACCTTACTTGTTCGCAAAATTACGTGTATTTTACAAAAAGGTCTTTTCTACTCGGGAAATATTCACTTCAAGGGTGATTTTTCGTTAATAGCGAACGATATTTTTTATTTTGTTTGATTAATACTAAAATGCTCTGGTCAACACCGTATATATATGTGCTCAAAAAAATCTACCCCTATTGTTCGCAAATTACGTGTACTTTTACAAAAAGCGTCTTTTACTCGGGAAATATTCACTTCAAGGGGTGGTTTTTCTTTATAGCGCATCAAATATTTTTATTTATTTGTTTGATACTAAAATGCTCTGCCAACAACCCTATATATGTGCTCAAAAAAATCTACCCTATTGGTTCGCAAATTACGTGTACTTTTACAAAAAGCGTCTTTTACTCGGGAAATATTCACTTCAAGGGGTGGTTTTTCTTTATAGCGCATCAAATATTTTTATTTATTTGTTTGATTATACTAAAATGCTCTGCCAACAACCGCTATATATTGTGCTCAAAAAAATCTACCCTATTCGGTTCGCAAATTACGTGTACTTTTACAAAAAGCGTCTTTTACTCGGGAAATATTCACTTCAAGGGTGGTTTTTCTTTATAGCGCATGAAATATTTTTATTTTTTTGATTAATTATACTAAAATGGTCCGTCAACAACCATATATATGTGCTCAAAAAAATCTACCCTTATTGGTTCGCAAATTACGTGTAGTTTTACAAAAAGCGTCTTTTACTCGGGAAATATTCACTTCAAGGGGTGATTTTTCTTAATAGCGAACGAAATATTTTTATTTATTTGTTTGATTATACTAAAATGCTCTGTCAACAACCCTATATATATGTGCTCAAAAAATCTACCCCTATCCGTTCGCAAATTACGTGTACTTTTACAAAAAGCGTCTTTTACTCGGGAAATATTCACTTCAAGGGGTGGTTTTTCTTAATAGCGCATGAAATATTTTTATTTATTTGATTAATTATAATAAAATGGTCCGTCAACAAAAATCTACCCCTATTGGTTCGCAAATTACGTGTACTTTTACAAAAAGCGTCTTTTACTCGGGAAATATTCAATTCAAGGGGTGGTTTTTCTTTATAGCGCATCAAATATTTTTATTTATTTGATTAATTATACTAAATTGGTCCGTCAACAACCATATATATGTGCTCAAAAAAATCTACCCTTATTGGTTCGCAAATTACGTGTAGTTTTACAAAAAGCGTCTTTTACTCGGGAAATATTCACTTCAAGGGGTGGTTTTTCTTTATAGCGCATCAAATATTTTTATTTATTTGTTTGATTATACTAAAATGCTCTGCCAACAACCCTATATATGTGCTCAAAAAAATCTACCCCTATCCGTTCGCAAATTACGTGTACTTTTACAAAAAGCGTCTTTTACTCGGGAAATATTCACTTCAAGGGGTGGTTTTTCTTAATAGCGCATGAAATATCTTTATTTATTTGTTTGATTATACTAAAAAAAAATCTACCCCTATCCGTTCGGAAATTATATGTACCTAGTTTGCTAGAACGGCTCTTACTTGGCACGCATCTACTTCACGGGGTGGTTTTCTTAATAGCGCATGAAATATTTTTATTTACTTGAATGATTATAGTAAATAGGTCCACTAACAACGCTATATAGGTGCTCAAAAAATCTACCCCTATCCCTTCGCAACTTCGCAACAACGTGTATTCTTATAAAACGTTTCCTTTCCTTGGAAATCATTCAGTGTAATTGTAAGGGGTAGTATTTTTACAGCGCATCATATATATTTAATTTCTTGGATTGATTATGTTAAAAGGGTCCATCAACAACCCTATATATGTGCTCAAAGAAATATACCCACCCCCATCCGTTTGCGAATTACGTATATTTTTATACAAAGCTTCTGTTACTCGGCACTTCAAGGGGTGGTTTTTCTTAATAGTGCCTGACATTTTTTATGTATGGAGTCCACCAACAACCCTGTATAGGTGCTTAAAAAATCTACCCCTCTCCGTTCGCAAATTACGTGTATTTTTATAAAAAGCTTTCTTTGCTCGGCACTCATTCACTTCAGGGGTGGTTTTTCTTAATTACTCATCAAATATTTTAATGTATTTGATTGATTATAAAATTCAAAAAATTTCTTGAGTTTGTACTTATCTTTTAACTTTCTAATCGCATGCATGAATGCACGAAGGGATAGAAGATGCTTCATGTAGGTATTCATCCGCGAAAACAACTTTTCATATTTTTTATAATAGGCTTTTACTGGATGTGGGTTTTCCACCTACAAATTTTTCTTTTGCTTTTGCAACAAGTCATTGAATAGACAGTGTATTATCTTTTTCTGTTAAAGTCATTTCATTTAGAATGTATTCGAGTATAACGTCAATATGCTTTCATTTTATTTCCCTTATTTTTCAATTATTTTGCAAATATAATAAAAAATACCATAATAAACGCATTTATAATTGGTCTTTAAAGAACTTTCAAGACTTGATTAATGATTATACACTTGTGTCTTAATAAACTATTCTAAGAGAACTTCAATTGTAGGAGGAAAAGATTTCTGTAGCAAGAACTCGTCATTTGATGGACGTATGGCGTAAGACAAATTATAGACCGCTGTAAAGAATAATGCGTTTGCATAAATTCAATGTTGCGCACTTTTGATGCTAAATTTAAACACGAAAGGTAAACATTCAAAAACAAAAACACCCGGTTACAGCATAAACAAGGGAAAACACACATTTTTGTGAGAATCTTGCATATTGATTTAAGAATTATAATAAAATCAATCCTCGACCTTGTGTTATGAATTTACTTACGTTGTTATTTACAGTTTGGAATCTACCCTTATTCTGTTTACGTATTTCTACGAGCGAGGCAAGTCGACATTTCCAGAATGTCAACGTAGCTGGAGGAAAAGAAATCAATTATTAATTTTCAATTATTTCTTATGAACCTTTTTTTCTTGAAACATATTAGGTGCATGTATAAGACGAAAAGGGACAACAACACCATTATGTTTGAACTTTATATTCGTTTTTATTATACTGCAGTTGCGCACTGTAGTTATCTTTTAAGAACCATTGCTGGAGAGTAATCGAGAGAAAAGTGAAATTTTGGAACAGATGGGAAGATTTGCTATTCGAAAAAAATCTTCATAGGATTATTTTACAAACCCTTATGGAAGTGTTCTTAGAAACTTAGAGAGGAAAATTTAGTGGTTATTTAGTAGAACGTATTGAAATTTGGAAGACAAGAAGGGGAACGAAAACATTTTTTGCTTTAAGATTTTTTTTAATTTTTCAAAGAAGCAACATCAAAGTCAAACTGTTTACGAGGCATTCCTATCAGTCCCCTTAGAAATATTCATTAGAAACTTCCTTGAAAGATCTTATTTAAGACGTTTTTAAAGAACCTTTTTGAAAATATTTTTAGAATGATTTGTTCAAGTAATCGAAATTTACCATTGAAATCCTTTTAAATAATCTTAAGTTACTGTAACACAAGTTAGAATTTTTTTTCGTCTACTGTGCAACCCTGTGTGGGAACGGGAAGAGAATATTTCCACTGCAGAAGCTCACTGCATGCGGTAAAAGTCCGCTAATCAAAGGCGCCCCTCCGCTTCCTGCACCTTCTGTGTGTGCCATCCACTTTGACGTTTTTATGAAACCGCCAAAATTAAAAAAATACGGCCACGTTTTTGATACATGTAAAGGTATAACAGAAAGTTCGTCCCCTATGCTCCGTAAGAATGATCTTTAGAACCCGTAACAATGTAGTGTTTTGAGTCTTATCTGGTTACACACTCGCTTCCTATCTGAAAGCGCTTCATTTTATTGCATTTCGACTATGTGTTTACTATTTGTAAATTCGAAACCAAATCTTTCTAATCCTAAACCCACGACCTGTTACAACCCGCTTGCGTTTTGTTGCCAAAGGATTTTCTTTCACTCACAAACGCCCTGAGAAAAAACGTATATTTAAAACGGAATACTCAATAAATACAAATTTAAGGGTTATACAGTCGGAGGCCAAATCTTTGTGCTGAGAATTTGAGACCTATCAAAATTAAATATGGAAAATCACGTGCCAACTGGTTTATTACTCCATTAGTGTTTTATCTCAAAAGTAACGAAAAAGTCTTTTCAAAGACTGCAATTTTATTAAATTGTCTAATATTTCAAGCGGTTACGGTAACGTCGTCAAAAGATTTATTTGTATTGAGGCTTGGTAATCTCTTTTCCCTCGTGTGACAAACAAGGGAGGCGATCGATAAGAAATTACTCGAACCGTAAAAGGTAGCATATTTTTCTTTGGATATAAGGCGGCACTATCTACTCGGTAATCCATTTATGTAGCTAAGCTCCGGGACGCGTGGGTGATGTTTCGGAAGCGTTTGAAAGGGAATGACGTATGAAACTGATGGACGATTTCGCGCAAATTTGATGCTTTTCATGTCCAAATTGACTCTGGGATGTGCTTTCTGACCGTCGGCCATTTTTATGGGAATTTTTCAAAAGAAAAAAAATTTGCTTTTGTCCGTCTGTCCGTCTGTTCCTCGTCTAACTCGAGAACGAAAAGAGATAGCGATGTCAAACCTTCGCCGATCGATTTCCACGAGTACAAGGATCAGTGCTATTGAATATGAGCCGGATCAAAAGTCTGGTTTCCGAATATTGAAAATTGTATGCGATCTTTCGTATCTTGTTATAAGGTGGTTCACATTTTAGGCGAATAATTTTGAATTTTTTGATTTTAGGTCATCTTGCACCCCAATGCCAATTGTCATTGTAACTAACTTGCGAGTGAACTAATATCTAAGGTCAAACTGTATTTTAGTTCGAATTTCATTGTGAATAAGAGAGAAAACGGTAAAAGCGGAAAGTCCCACGCGACTTTGTTATTGCTTACCTTCTCCCGCACCGGAAATTGGCACAATAGCGTTATTCCCATTACTGTTACCGTAACGTCTTTATTTTCACTCGCTTCCGGAATTTGCGGATGCCTTCCCCCAAACTTGCCGAAGTACGGGAAGCGAACGTTAAAAACCAATCCAAAAATTGATTGTGGAAGAGCTTTCGGCTTTAAAGCACCCCTCCATTTATTTTGAAACGAAATTAATTTACGTTTTAATTTCAGTGAAACGCGCCCGTAGTGATACGGAAGAAAATCCACATCTGCCGGCCATCTATTATAAAAATCCGTCGGCCATCAAACGAGGTAAGTCACAGAATCGAAATTACTCAGTCGTCTCTTTTCCGGCGTCTCGGGCGTCGGAAGAAATGTTACCATAACAACGGCCGATTAGTGACGACTGAAATGAAATACTTGGGGTAATTTACTATTCAATTTTCCGACATTTACGAGATGTATTTTCGACGAGTTATAGCGAGAATTCAATTTAATCTCTCATTTATACAAGGGCTTCGGTATCAAATGAAATCGGGGGTTGTTTTTTTTTAATGAGCTTAACAGGGATTTGCTATGAGCTAATCGAGCATTAAATTGCGTGATATTTTCTGTTTCACTTCGCGATCTATGTACTTAACCGCATTAAAATCACTTTAGATTGAAAGCGACTTTCGACCATCAAAGGTCATAAAAAAGTCATTGAAAATGAAATCGTATTACACCACTTGAGGGCAGCTCGCTTCATCATATTTTCTTCTTAAATTAAAATGACTTTCCTTAATTCAATGATGATCACTCTTAAGGTTCAATTTTTATAGTTTGGATTTTCGCCCATAAACTTTATACACTTTGTTGTTCTATGCCCTCCTTCTCATTTCCACATAGTCTACATTTTCTTTCTTCTTCTTGTATCCATTTCTGTTTTCTCATTTCCGCATCTGAATCTCGTTTTAATATTTATTCTTCCTTCCCACAAATATTTTGGTAACCACTCCCGTATTAGATCATTATAAGTGCTACTTCTTCTTCATCATTTGTTGTTGTATTTGTGCATCCAGATCCCATTTTCCATCTTTTCTCCTACTTCTCTCCTCTATTCGACCTCTCCATTTTTCTCATCTGTTCTACCTCTGCTGCCATGCTCACTGCGTTGTCCCCACATGCCATGGACCATATATTTCTTCTTCCCACTACTACTCCCTTATTTGAATCCCAATTGTGTGTCCCCCAACCATCCTCATCTCTTCCCTTTCTCTTTCTAGTCTTTCATTATCATTGCATAGATTCTATACGCCGTAGTCATTATAGTAATTCCCCCGCAATTTGTTCCCTCTTTTGAAGATCGGCACGATTACCCCTTCGCTCCATTCTTGGGGCAAACCACCTTCTTTTCATACCTTGTTTATTACATTTCTCATTCTTTCCTTGGTGAAAATCCAAACCTCATTACCTATCCCGTGTCTCCCCGCCGCTTTCCCCTTCTTCAGTATTTTTAATTGCTCCTCTCTTGTTATCTCATCTCCTTCAACCTCCTCTCTTCCTACCACTTCCATAGAATTCTCTTTCGCCTGTTTTCCTTGTTGTAACTTGACAAAATGTTGTTTTCATTCCTCTAATTGTTATTTTCTTCGTTTATCACCTTCCAAAAAATCCCTTTTCTTTTTATTTCCCTGATTTACAATTCTTATTCTTTCTGTTTCTCCATCTTTTTTCATTGTACTTTTTTCCCTCACCTCTTTGTCCTCTATTTCCCCCCTTCTTTTTCTCTCCATCAATTCTCTATCTTGTGTACACTCTACCACTGGTCATTACTTGTTTCTCCTCTCCAGTTATTTGTTTCCACGCTATTGCTTTTTTAATACTTTTCATTATACTATTCAACTCCTCTGTATTCCCTCCTATTTCTTTACTTCTGTACAGCTCCACCGTGTAACGGGATTTCCCTATACAGGAATTTTTTAAATTGATAAAAATGCGCAATCTATGTTTAGGTGTGCATGTAACCTTGAACCTACGAATGCCTGCATTTTAGCATTGGAAGGAATTGTTATATTTGTATCATTTACTCTCACCCAAATTGGGATATTATTTAACCGTGAGGAGACTAAAACGGAATTAGCAATATAACGTAATAATCGCGGTTCGAATTGCAATTTCATTTCGCATGTAAATAGAATAGGATCATAAATACTGCTTTACGAATGTATATTCAGAATGAGGTAAAGTAAAATGAGTCACTGTAATAAAATAACCGCAAGGAGAGCATTTTGAGAATGAGGTACTAGACAACAAAAGACAGCGTGTTTTGTGAGCGGTCCGTGCACTTCCATTTCCACATCGAATCGACGAAAAGCAACGCCTAGTTTTTAGCCGGTCCGTTGTGCGGCCAACCACATCCAAATTGTGGGGGCGGATACAGACTATTTCATATCGAGGTATCCACGAAAAGACATCTAGAATTTCTAGTGAATATAAACAATAGCTCATCCCGTATATTAGAATAGTCTCATCGTACTACCTACTTGCGAGTTGCATTCAGATATTTAGGTAACGCAGTACGCTTTATTTTCATTGTACAGGGTGACCCAATAAGACGGCCATATGTCGGGAACCGTTCGTCGTATGACTTAGGGGTAAAAAAAATTGTTAAAATCGGTCAAACGGTTAAGAAGTTAAACCAGGTTATTGAAAAAACAATTGAACGCCCCACACCATCTTTGTTTTTGAAATAACTGATAGATAAAACTGGTTCTCTTTAAAAATGTGAAAAAAAATCTTTTAGTTTACTATGCGAAATTAAAAAAAAATGCAATTTTAAAATTTAAGATGCCAGTTACGCCCGCTGTTGGTCATTTTTAGAACTTGAAAATATTTTCCATCGATTCTTCATGACCGTATTACCCAATAATTTTTTTACCCCAAAGTCAGTTCCCGAGATATGACCGAGGAACAGACTTATTAGGTCACCCGGTATATACATAGTGATTGAGAATAATCTAAGTAATTTTCTTTTAGCACCTGAAGGTGATTCATGCGACATTGCTTTAGTTTCATATACGATTATAAATTTCCTACCAATGCGAAGTATGATTTTTGCGAATGAATGTGGTTTACAGGATCGTTCCGCCTCAACCCAGAACCATAAAGATTATTGAGTTATTGTTTATTCTTTACCCCTTATCGTAGAGGCCAGAAGAGGATTATTAACCGACGAGCAGCCGAGGCATATTAATATTTACACAAGAACCGCTCCCAATTTTATCAACCCGAAGACGTGGGAGACAAGGAAAATTTGTAACATCCGTTACATCGTTAACCTGATAATTCTCCCTCTTTGTTGGACTCTGTATATCTTGATGGAATTTTTCCCGTCTCTACCCATTTTCCCTGGCATTAAAATCTCTCCCTTCCTCCAATATCAGTCCCTCCTTCTCCCTTTCATTTACAATATTTTCTATTTTATTTTTTAGGTCCGTCATTTCTTCTCTGTTGTATCACTCTCATGTTCTTTTCCTCGACAATTGTTCCAAAGGTTTCGGAATGTTCATTTTTATCGGAAAAATCGACCTTCGCCATTTATCGCCGATGACTAAATCTTTCAGGGCGCCTCGATGTCTATCGGGATTACTGGAAATAAATAATATAAATAATTAGGTTTCCTGACTTGGAACAATCAATTGTTTAGGTTTACAGGTATTAATTTCTGGGAGGAATTGTGTCAGATTATACTTAAGCGAAGAGAGATTGTCTGCGTAATCCAAAATAAAAGCTTTCACACAGTATGTTTACTTACATTTATATTTTAATTAAAATTTAACAATATCAACGCTTCAAATTTCAAACGTTAAACGATAAACATCGACTGTGTAAGCCCTCGTCAATTTACAAACTTAATTGAGAGGCGATTAAGGTAAAACGTACGAGATTATCCGTGTGCATGTATTGTTTCTTTTCAGGGACCAGCCAGCCGTTCGACAACTGGGAAGACCTGAATAAGGAGACGTTCATCAATCTGGCGCCGTCGTTGTACTCGAACGACGGCAAGATCGACGACAAATCCATAGTGGATTACGAGAAGGCTTATCAGTACGGTACGAATAAGGAGAAGCTGGACGAGGCCTTGGAGAACGCCGTTCTGAAATCGGAACTGTACGGCAGTCCCGGATCGGCGAATCAGTACAGATACTTCGAGGGGGGCAACGATGAAAAACGCAAAAAACGAGCCGCTTTTAAGAGGTAAGTGTTGAGGCTTAATGGCGCTTTTGAAAGTGCGGTTACGCGCAATTGAATCTCGCTCGATTTGGCACGAAAAAGGAAAGCGATTACCTAAAGTGCTACAACTTTTAATGAACCAATTATTTTGTCAGAGCATTGTGTTATATAAAGTTTCTTCTGAAGTGATGGGAATTTGAGGTGAAAAATTCCTCCTTAATTTTGCTTAATCTGCGCTCCAATAACTTTTAGTTAGCAACCCTAAGAAATCCATGTTTGATTGGGGTGCATTAATATAAACAATTTTCCATCTCATCATTTCTCCCTTGAACATTGCTTCTCTGAGGAGGTTCCCCATGTTGGAGTGTTCCCTTTTTGTTCGTAGGTGAAATTTGGGTTTAGGGTGAATTTACATGCATCCGTTATCTGCCGATACGTTAAATTTAAAGGTGAAGATAAAGAAAACTGTCGGAAATTTTAGAAATATGTAAAAACAATTTTGGAAATGTTTCAGAATTCGAGAAATTTTTCGTAAATGGAAATCAGTTGGAAAATTTTGACATGGTTTTCAAAACGCGAAGGCATTTTGGAAATTAAAAATTGTAACCAGAACCATTTAAAGTAGACTAAAATTGCTACAATTTGGGACCAGAACCAATACGGAAATTTTAAGGTTTTAACCCCAAGATCGAGAAAAATACCCATTTAACGGAAAAAGTCAACTTTATTTTTAACGGTTGCAGAACAGAACCGAACAGAAGTGTAATAGAAACATCCTTCGAGCGAATTTGGTCTTTTTACTAATAAAATTTGTGCATAACTAACGGGCAATGACAGAAAAACGTGTCTCGGTCAAGGCTTTACACGACGCAAATATCTTTTGCGAATTCTGATGTACGATTTATGGACATGCCGTGAATGAGTGTAATTAGTTTTTTAATTACACCAAAAAAACCAAAAGCTCGCCCTTTAATTATCTGCTTAATATGGTTACCTCACTTTTACTTTGCTACATAAACAAAATTACATCACGTTTTAGGACAACTGTAAAAAAGTGGCACTGTTTTCAGCATGAAGGGTTATTGGTTTTGTGAACTCGAATAATGTTTTAAACTGCCCTTTGTGGCAGAAGGGCACGCGTGTACAAAACATGTAAATGTGCATGATCTAAAAGTGAAATGAATTTTCCTCTTCTAAACGACAAATAGAAAAGATAAGTATAAATTGTACACACAATTTTTTTATTCACTTGATTGATTATAATAAAATGGTCCGCCAAGAACCCTATATATGTGCTCAAAAAAATCTACAACCCTATGTAGGTGCTCAAGAAAATCTACCCCTATCCGTTCGCAAATTACGTGTATTTTTATAAAAAAACGTCTTTTACTCGGCACTCATCCACTTCAAGGGGTAGTTTTTCTTAATAGCGCGTCAAATATTTTTATGTATTTGATTGATTATACTAAAATGGTCAGCCAACAACCCTATGTAGGTGAACAAGAAAATCTACCCCTATCCGTTCGCAAATTACGTGTATTTTTATAAAAAAAACGTCTTTTACTCGGCACTCATCCACTTCAAGGGGTGGTTTTTCTTAATAGCGCGTCAAATATTTTTATGTATTTGATTGATTATACTAAAATGGTCCGCCAACAACCCTATGTAGGTGCTGAAGAAAATCTACCCCTATCCGTTCGCAAATTACGTGTATTTTTATAAAAAAACGTCTTTTACTCGGCACTCATCCACTTCAAGGGGTGGTTTTTCTTAATAGCGCGTCAAATATTTTTATGTATTTGATTGATTATACTAAAATGGTCAGCCAACAACCCTATGTAGGTGCTTAAGAAAATCTACCCCTATACGTTCGCAAATTACGTGTATTTTTACAAAAAGCGTCTTTTACTCGGGAAACATCCACTTCAAGGGGTGGTTTTTCTTAATAAGGCATCAAATATTTTTATTTATTTGGTTGATTATACTAAATTGGTCAGCCAACAACCCTATGTAGGTGCTCAAGAAAATCTACCCCTATCCGTTCGCAAATTACGTGTATTTTTATAAAAAAACGTCTTTTACTCGGCACTCATCCACTTCAAGGGGTAGTTTTTCTTAATAGCGCGTCAAATATTTTTATGTATTTGATTGATTATACTAAAATGGTCAGCCAACAACCCTATGTAGGTGAACAAGAAAATCTACCCCTATCCGTTCGCAAATTACGTGTATTTTTATAAAAAAAACGTCTTTTACTCGGCACTCATCCACTTCAAGGGGTGGTTTTTCTTAATAGCGCGTCAAATATTTTTATGTATTTGATTGATTATACTAAAATGGTCAGCCAACAACCCTATGTAGGTGCTTAAGAAAATCTACCCCTATACGTTCGCAAATTACGTGTATTTTTACAAAAAGCGTCTTTTACTCGGGAAACATCCACTTCAAGGGGTGGTTTTTCTTAATAGGGCACCAAATATCTTTATTTATTTGATTGATTATACTAAAATGGTCAGCCAAAAACCCTATGTAGGTGCTCAAGAAAATCTACCCCTATCCGTTCGGAAATTACGTGTATTTTTATAAAAAAACGTCTTTTACTCGGCACTCATTCACTTCAAGGGGTGGTTTTTCTTAATAAGGCATCAAATATTTTCATTTATTTGGTTGATTATACTAAAATGGTCAGCCAACATCCCTATGTAGGTGCACAAGAAAATCTACCCCTATCCGTTCGCAAATTACGTGTATTTTTATAAAAAACGTCTTACTCGGCACTCATCCACTTCAAGGGGTGGTTTTTATTATTAGCGCGTCAAATATTTGTATGTATTTGATTGATTATACTAAAATGCTCTGCCAACAACCCTATATCGATGCTCAAAAAATTTTACCCCAAGCCGTTCGCAAATTACGTTTACTTTAACATAAATCGTCTTTTACTCGGGAAACATCCACTTCAAGGGGTGGTTTTTCTTAATAGCTCATCAAATATTTATATTTATTTGTTTGATTATAATAAAATGGTCATCCAACAACCCTCCGTAGGTGCTCAAAAAAATCTAGCCCTATCCGTTCGCAAATTACGTGTATTTTTATAAAAAAACGTCTTTTACTCGGCACTCATCCACTGTCAGGGGTGGCTTTTCTGAATAGCGCATGAAATATTTTTATTTATATGATTGATTATACTAAAATGATCAGCTAACAACCCTGTCTAGGTGCTCAAGAAAATCTACCCCTATCCGTTCGCAAATTACATGTATTTTCACAAAAAGGGTCTTTTAATCGGGAAACATCCACTTCAAGGGGTGGTTTCTCTGAATAGAGCATTAAACATTTTTATATATTTGTTTGATTATTCTAAAATGCTCTGCCAGCAACCTTATATAGGCGCTCAAAAAATCTACCCCTATCCGTTCGCAAGTTAAATGTATTTTTACAAAAAGCGTCTTTTACTCCACAAACAGAATCAAGATAGCTACGTTTGTTTCTGAGATACAGGGTGAGAACGAAAAGTTTTTTTGGAAGTTATTTATTTGTTTATTAATTTATTTATTGTCCCTCTCTTGTTATCATTTATTGCTATCCATATAAGATAAAAAAAGTAAAAACTGTGCCTTTTAAACATTTTGGATTTTAGATGGTAGGTTAATAGAAACTTTTTTTTTAATTTTTGGACGAGCCAATTCATCCTGAAATCCTGCTCATATATATTATGGAACACCCTGTATAATATAGCCATTTCTTGTGCTAAAACCCATAAAGATTAATAAAACCTTAATTCTTAAAAGACCCTGCTTTGGAAGACCCTTTGAGGCTTTTTAAAACTGTTTAAGGCTCTTAAGAATCATATAGGCTGGCTTTCGGGTTCTTGGACACTCTTAGAGAGCTTTGTGACGACAATATAAAACAAACGCAAATGGAATTTTTTCATAAGGCAAAAACCAAATTATGCTGAATGTTAAATAGAGCGACCCGATATACAGAAATGTATTGTTTTACAGTGCAGGACTGAATGTGACAAGTTGAAAAATGGAAAATCTTCCACAAAGCGTGCTGTAGTTGAAATATCAGTGCCGGTAAATACATCAAAGAAGGCTATTCTAATCAAACTGAAATTTAAATGCCCCGTGGCGAGCGAGATTGAAGCTGCCCTTTTCGCTTGAGTTTCCCCTTTGCTGCACATTAGGTATATATCATTTTTGTACCCGTATAACATCCTACCGCTTTAAAGATAAGGCGATATTAGCCAAATTTAGTAATGGGAAGCCCTTTGAAAGGAAGTTACTGACGCTGGATTTCTCTCGAAAATAATATTTCGCTTGTTCTTTGATATTTTGAATTTATGACACTTTCGCTGGCAATCTCTCGACTGCCTTTGTTAACCTACGACGCGATTCCTATTTCCGTGACTATTTCTAGAAACACGCCACAAGATAATAGAGTTTCGTCTTCTCCTCTGTTACAAATCACGGTAGAAAAGGCGGACGCGAGCCAAGGTACCTACTACGTTCGTAAAGACAAATTTATGATTACCCCCGCCGAGACGAGGAAATTACAAGTAAATCTCGCGTATTAATCTCGCCCACTTCAAACAAGAGGTTCAGATTTTCTATTGAAACTTTCCTACGGTAAAAGACGTCTACGTATAACGTTTCAAAAGGAAATATGAAACCAAACAAGTTTTCCCTGGGTAATAAAAGAATGAAAGTAATACCATTTCGAAGAAACTCTACAGGAATGTCTACTCACGCAATATTAAATATTCCATTGCATACCGGTTACCGTGTAATCCAGAATTTATTATCACTCCGATTAAGAAGAGGGGGGGGGGGCACAAATTTGTTTAGCAAACTATGTTCTATCGTAACTAACCACTACAAGTATAAACGCAATGGATTTTCTGTACTTTTGACCCCAATGCTTTCGTGGTAAAATTCAATTAAGCGCTATCGTGGTGATCAAACGTTGCAACCAAAACGAAAATGTTCTCTCGCGTAAATACGCCGCTTCATATTAGTTTTACTCATGATGGTAATTCGCAAATTTCCGCGCTTACGTTATGTAGGTTTGCGTCGAAGGTTTGGCTAAGAATGCCTTTCTCCCACCCAATTTTCACTTACGTACTCCAGTGTAGTAGAAATTTTGAATTCCTCCGAAAGGAAAGGCGCACATATGGAGTAGCCTAAATTAGCACAATATTTTGGAGATGTAGCAAATTGGGGTGCCGACTCAGGGTTACTAATCCAATCCACCTCTTCTTACAACCCTATTTTATAGAATTGCCTTAAAATTGCGCAAATTTTAAACTCCCTTCTTTATGCAAGTAACGAATTGTTAGGGGTGCATCAAATTACACGTTACCTGTAGAAAACGTTATTTTGCTGCCCATACAAAATAATGCAAAATAACGTTTTTATTATAGCTGATTCACAATCTCCGTTTTGAACACTCAAATGCGTGCGAAATCGGGCCTTTAAAGTTTGCTTAGTAACATTAGTTCAAATATCATTTATGAAACGGTCATATGAGGCTGAATAAAAAATCTTCTTAGGTCGCTGTCTGTAAATGCCAAAGTTGGACCTATCCTTTTTTGAAGCTTCCACAAGCGCATGTAATTTAGAGTGTGCTGCCAGATCTGTTCTGTTTTTTTTGTAAGATGCTTTCTATTCATCCACAAATAGAAGTTTTCATATTCTTTATAATAGGCTTTTACTGGGTCACAGGGTTTGGATTTTGCACCTACCAACTTTTCTTCTGTTTCTGCAACAAGCCATTGAATGAACGGATCTTTTTCAACCGAAGTAATTTTATTTATAAAGGCGATAAATTTTATACGCAAACGTCAAGTGACATTTCCATGACCTGAAATAACGAATAAACAAAACCTTTACTTCTCGGCGTTGATAATGGGCATCGTTTTTTGATATAAAAAACGTAGTTATTACAATGGAAAGTGAAAAATTTTTTGTTTTGGTTTTATTTCGGAGGAAAACAGCTTTCCGTTATACTTTACATTTGTTGTAGAAAATTTTAAATGGATTCCGTTTTTTCTTTGGGCACGGAAAGAAATTTTATCGGATTATCTGAAAGTGCCCTAATCTCGACGTATTACAAATATAAGTTTATTAAAAATTGCATTACCCAATCCCCACACTTACGTTACATTACGTGACGTAAATAAAGCCGTCGGACTTATCCTTTTTTTCTCCAAAAACCAAAGTCTCCCTCGCGCGGCTTTAAATCTCTGCTCTCTGAAGGATCGTGCAGTGGGATATTTATCGGCGTTACGCCCGAAGATATTTCAAGCGTGCCCACATATCAGTATTGTTCCCCACGCTCGCTCGCGCGCTTCTCGATATTTGCGCTTTCAATGGAACTACTTCGTATTCAGAGAAAATCGGAGGAAATTATGTTCCCTTTGTGGATTCGTAATTGCGTATGATGCGATCACTCGAACGTATTCAATAGCAGGTGGAACTATCTCAGGTGTAAGAAGGGTCCAAGTGGTTTTGAGTAAATTCTCTCGAATTCCAACAGAATGAAGGTAATTATATAAGGATAAGAAACCTATTGGTTGTTAGGGCACGCCAATAGAGGTCATTGCGTTCAGAAAAGAAGGCCCGTTTCTCTTTAAATGTTGTGCCTAATCAGTAAGTGTTTAAGGGTCTTTAAGAGCTTTGAAAGGCGATTTGAGCAATTGACTTTCTGCTTATAATATCCTATTATTTTAGAGAGAATCTTTAAGGACCTTCAAGCGTTTTCCGTGTACTTTCAACAGCATTTGAGTTCAGAAATCTGCAACAATTTGTATTTTGATAAACATAGGAAAATTTACGCTTATACCGCTTCATAGCGAACATAAAAAAAGTATATCTGGCAACAACAAGGGGGGGGGGGGGGGGAGAAGGTGAGCGCCGCGCCGTTGAAGAGTTTCGATCCGTTGTGTTTAAAATCGCGCACGTGACAAGAATGCAGGTTTACTATTGGTTTAATAAGGTACGCTAGTCGAGGTTGTTGAGTTCAGAAAATGGGTCCCGTTTCAGAATTTCTAACGGGCGAGATTCGAATAGCGAAAGAAGTGGAAGGGCGATCGTCCTAAGCCGATTTTCGCAAGCGAGTACGTACTAATTTGGGCAAATTATTATTATTCTTGGTTTATGTCAAGTAAAAATGAAAGTTTTTGTTTAATTTCAAAAGCGACCTCGTGTGTGAAGAAAAATTGATTCGCGGACGACATTTTTAGCGGCGTTGTGAGAAGTGTCTTCATGTATGTGAGAAGAGATGCGGTTGTAACTCGAGAACCGTAACGTGAGTGAAATCAATCCGGATAGTAGTAAAGATTAGCAGTTTAACTTCGGGTATAAACATATTAAGTAGTAGGCACTCCTAAATCTCGCGACGAAAGAAAACTTTTGATTCGAAAGAAGGCCTTTTATTTACGAGTGGTAAAATATAGGCGAAGGAACATTTTCGAGTCAAAGACCCGCTTTCCAAATAACAAAATGGAACGATCCGATGACTAACATTAACGGTTGGTTAAAATCAGGTTTCTTAGTCGCGAGTTGATAGATGGTCGATTAAAGTAGAGTAGTCGAGTACAAGTCGTTGTTGGTCCTTCTACATTTTCATAGTAACTACCAACTTTCATAAATATTTCAGTGACATATAGAGAATGAGTAAGTTTTTGGGACATATAATACGGTAGAAATCGCTTTATGAATAGACGTAAAACAAGAGCAAAAACTTTTGTTTGCGTGGCATGCTCTAACAGTTTTTCAGTCGATCGAGTAAAAGGAAATTGTCGGCCCTTCGCGCAAGAAACTTACGTTTAATGGTTTTCTGCAATAGAACTGGCCTTAATGGACTTTTAATACTTTCTAGTGCTGATGGGTACGTTAAAAGAAAACTAATGGATCGGCGAACGAAGTATGACTTTCATGAACTTTTCAATTAAATTGACGATAACATTTACTGAAGGGCGTGTTTACGTAAAGACAGTTACGAGTTTAGGGTTTCACGAAAACTACACGCGCTTTTCGTTCAAATACTTATGATTACTCAACAATTTTAATTTTTAAATATCCGAATATAAAATTTATCACCTATTTGTAGCGCATTTTTGCAAATTTATTTGTCAAAAGGTAGCTTTTAATCTCATGGCCGGCTGGCTGGCTGGCAGCAAATGAGGGCGCGTAAAAAAACGCTTGTAGAAAGACGAGGAATGTACGTGTACCTACCGGGGCCGTGTAATTAACAACCTTAGGGACGGGGCTGCATGATCTGGGCGCCATCCCCGAGCGTGGTTTTACTAATGTGGTGATTTTTCAGTTTTTTTCTACGCACAATTTCTGCGTGACGGGATTTTATTTTTTCCTGGGGTTAAAATTAACTCTTATTTAGGTGTAATTTGCTGGATTAAACACAAAACTAATCATTTAAAGGGAATCAAAATTTATTCGACATAAATCAATCAATAAAGCTGAAATTAAAATAGGCACTCACATCTCAGACTGTTTTTTCGTAAGCGTGAACAACGCTTCAACTTAATTTGAATTATAACAATTAAAACTTTCTTCTACACCATGAACTCTAACCATTATAAAGACGGACTGTCTTTCCAAAAACAAAATCTATTACGCCAAACTGTCATACACTAATCAGAACGCCCACCAAAAAGTAACGTCTCTTCTATTTAACGACTCTTCCCTTCTACACCTTCCTAATCAAAACTAATGCGCGTCTGAATAACTGAACACCTGCGTTGAAAAAACATCTGCTTATCTTGAAATTAATTAGCTGTGTGCAGCGGTATCAAACTCCTATCGCACTGACCGGAGATAAACTTTTACGATAACTACACGCAAATATTTCCAAACTTAATCCTTTTAACACGTAATTCAACTTTACAATTACAAATCAAAGCAATTATTTAAAGGAAAATTAAATATCTAAATCTAAATCTAAAAAGTTTACTATCAAATTTATTTTCAACTTTTTATATAAATTATTCGAAAAATGAATTAATCCTCGTGCGAGATGCGAGATCTCTTTGTCTTTGTCGAGCTTCTATTGGCGACACGATAAAGAGAAACCGCGACTCGAGCTTTTAGAAACTT